GTCGATGACATTCACCAGTTAGCGACTTTATGTGGCACTCCATTGTCATATTACTATCGAATACAACACCAAGATTACGAGCAACTTGACATAATTCAATCTTACTGTTGTTAATCTCAATCGAAGTGAAATTTAATTTGTTTATTTGCTGCACGTACCAATTGGCAATAACTGGGTTTTGCATTGATTCAATTTGAGTTTGTGCTTGATCATCCAACAATCAATCGCCTCCATGCACCGACCAAATCTTTCAAAACAAGAGCTTGAAATGAAGTAGCTGGACCACTGACGATGATTTGTATGTCATCTGCAAACCCATGATGCTTGAACCTGAATGAATCAATGATGTCGAAAACGTCAGCAGTGTATAGCAAAAACAGCAGCGGTCCAAGTACTGAGCTTTGCGGTACACCATGCTTTACTTCCTGAACAGATGATAAAACATCTCTGCGTAATACCTGTTGTTTTCGCGCAGAGAGATATGATTCGAACCAAATAAGAACAACACCTGAGATTCCAAAACATTGACGTAGCTTTCCAAGTAAAATCTCGTGATTAACACAATCAAAGGCTGCACTAATATCAAGTAATGCCAAGATTGAGATATTTTGATCATCAATAGCAGCAAACAACTCAGATGAAACATCTATCAGTGCAGTCTCAGTTGAATGAAATTTTTTAAATCCTGACTGACATTTTGGTAGCAGATCATTATGATTTAAATGACAAATTAGCTGATTGTGGACAATTCGTTCAATAACTTTTGACAAAAATGTTAGATTTGACACCGGTCTATAACTTGCTAAACTATTCTTGTCTAGTGTCTGCTTTTTTAACATCGGAACAACAATTGAATATTTAAAAGCCATCGGGAAATGCCCATAAGTTAAACATGCATTTTCAAAAACGGGAGAAACAGATGAACGTATTTTTTTAAGTATTTTAGTTGGCAAATCATCCAGTGGGCACGATTTTGTAGGTGAATCCAAAATAATTTGACGAATCTCATCACTGGAACAGCACTGAAATAATGAAAGTTCAGTACACTCACTCATCCGATTGTTTGAAACAATAGTCTCTTTGATACAAGGCATCGTATCTAGTATGTTGTCAACCTTATCTTTAAAAAATTGAGCAAAATCATCAGAATTTAACTCATCTGACATATGCGAATCAACAGAATTCATCTTGCATAAAACCCTGTTAATTGTCATCCAGAGTTTTTTTGGATTGGAGCCAAGATTATATTCTGCAACAACAATGACCAAAATTTTCTTTCAAATCACTGTTTGATATTCCAGACAAAATAACAGATCAACCGAAACAATGCAATACGTCTAAAAAACAAGGAGTATATATATATATATATATATATATATATATATATATATATATATATATATATATTAATTTTAATTGTAGAATTTATAGAATATTGTAAAAATTATGGTCTATTACCAACATATATATATATATATATATATATATATATATATATATATATATATATATATATATATATATGTGTGTGTGTGTGTGTGTGTGTGTGTGTGTGTGTGTGTTATATCTCGAATAACTTTTCAGTCTCGTCAATCTCAGCTCAATATTTCTTGCAACACATCAAATCGAAATTTGAGGTATCATTTGAAGGTGGCTGTCTCCCGGTTTTCACAACAACCCAACATCGGCTCGACCACTTTGAACCTATCTCTACTGAAGATTCAAAAAAACTAATTCAATCGTCGAATGGGAAATCATGCAGTCTTGATCCGCTCCCAACATTTCTTCTAAAAGAACAATTGGACTTGCTTTTGCCATTTTTGTGCCACCTGGTCAACAGCTCAATCCATATGTCAATCATGCCAAGATCTCAGAAAACGGCTATAGTAAGACCTAAATTAAAAAAGTTTGGTTTCACACCTGATGCTGTCAACAACTATAGACCGATATCGAACCTAACATTTTTATCAAAGATTATAAAAAGAATAGTCGCTCATCAACTTCTTTTATACCTGAAAAAAAATTCATTACTGTCAAAAGTTCAGTCAGGTTTTCGTCAAGCTCACTCTACCGAAACGGCGATCCTCAAAGTGGTTTCTGATGTATGTGATGCAGTTGACATGGGCAATATAGCCATGTTTGCACTGCTGGATGTTAGTGCTGCCTTTAATACTGTTGATCATGATATTTTGCTGGAAAGACTCTTAGTCTCATATGGTGTAACAGGGGACGCACTTAGCTGGTTTCAGTCCTGTTTGACAGACAAAATACAGGTTGTCAACGTTGGGGAAGGTTCAGACACAGCTACGTCAGAAATTACCTGCGGTGTTTCACAGGGCTTCGTCCTTGGCCCTCTGTTATATATACAATACACTACCGAAATAGTCAGCGTTGTGGAATCATCAGGTACTCGTTGCCATTTGTACGCTGACGACATTCAACTATACGGATTTGGGTCTGCAAGCTTGTCCTATCAACTCTCTACAACTGTCACGGATGCTGTAAAAGCAGTAGGAGAATGGATGACAGCAAATAAATTAAAGCTAAATATCATCAACAAACGCAATACATGTGGCTAGGAACACCTCATAAACTCTTTCAGGTTGACGGGTTCAAAGATCCAGTGACAAATTTATGTGTGGTTATGGATCCAGATTTTTCAATGAAGTCTCATGTAAATAAACTATGCAAGAAATGTTTTTTCCAGCTACAAAAACTAAGAGCCATCACAAGATATTTGACAGTTGGCTCCACAAAAGCTCTTGTTTGCAGTTTCATTTGTAACAGGATTGATTTTTGTAACGTAATGATGTATGGGATCAACCTTTCGCTACAAGATGACGTTCAATCAGTTTTGAACGCCGCTGCTAGACTGGTTGCTGGCGTATCAAGGTTTGATCCTATCTACCAATTCATTAGAGATGAAATGCACTGGCTTCGCATGCCAGAGAGAAAAACATTTAAACTAGCTCTACTTGTAAGAGATTGTTTGACTGGAGATGCACCAATCTACCTGAGGGAACAGATTCATTCACAGTATCAGAGATTCAATATAGGGGTCGACTACGATCATCAAGCCGCGGTGACTTACACATTCCTAAGTTCATATCTTCTCATTTTGGAAAAAGAAGATTTTCAGTAGCATCTGCCCAGATTTGGAATGCGTCGCCTGCTGATCTAAAGAATTTCAACATCATGAGTCGAAGTGAATTCAAAAAACGGCTAAAGACTCATTGTTTCAACATTCAACAGCGAAGAAAGTAGAGAGCGCTTCTGAAGTCAGCTCGGAAGAGGCGCTGTACAAATTCTGCAATACAATATATATTTATATATTATTTATATATATATATATATATATATATTCTATAAATTCTACCGAATGTTTGGCGTTAATATGTTTGTAGTTCGTTTTTTCGATTTTTCTCACTAAAGTTTTTTGGTGAACGTTCAGTTTATTAAAATTCAAAATAAACTTATTTTTCGAATTCATGCTGCAAATAAGGCCATATTTCGATTCCGAATGAATCATCATCAGTGCTCCTTGTTGTATATATAGGGAAATATTGACTTTGTCAAGATTAACTTTGACGTTGTAAAAATTAACTTTGGTGTTGTAAAATTGAACTTTGATGCGAATTAGGTGTCAGGTTTCTTAATTAGCTGGTCATATATATATATATGCTGGTAGAAGACCGAATTCTTGACAATATGTAATAAAGTAAATAACACGATTTTTTAACAACCATAATACAAACAATCTTGCCGTTTAAATTTTAAAAATCGCGTTTTGTATTGTTTAATTTTATTAAATTTATTTTATTGGTTTTCTGTTTTAATTAAATAATTTATATAAATTAATAATTACTTGTTCCTTCTTATCAAATATCTTACATACCTTATATATAATGCACTGAAGATGAGTTTTCTATAACTCGAAATAGCTATTTGCAAATTTATTTAATAAAAATTTTTAAAAAACAATAAAATGTCTAATTTCTCTGACATTGATAAATTAAAAATAAAAAGTTGAACAATGTTAAAAGTAGTGTTAAATTTTTGAAATGTTGCGTTAACAACAGTCTGTTACCAATATATATATATATATATATATATATATATATATATATATATATATATATATGTTGGTAATAGACCATAATTTTTACAATATTCTATAAATTCTACGGAATGTTTGGCGTTAATATGTTTGTAGTTCATGCTGCAAATAAGGCCATATTTCGATTCCGAATGAATCATCATCAGTGCTCCTTGCTGTATATATATAGGGAAATATTGACTTTGTCAAGATGAACTTTGACGTTGGTAAATATTCTATAAATTCTACCGAATGTTTGGCGTTAATATGTTTGTAGTTCGTTTTTTCGATTTTTCTCACTAAAGTTTTTTGGTGAACGTTCAGTTTATTAAAATTCAAAATAAACTTATTTTTCGAATTCATGCTGCAAATAAGGCCATATTTCGATTCCAAATGAATCATCATCAGTGCTCCTTGCTGTATATATAGGGAAATATTGACTTTGTCAAGATGAACTTTGACGTTCATCTGATAATCTGATATATATATAATCTGATATATATATATATATATATATATATATATATCAGATTGTGGCTTGCACATGGAAATCAAAATGCATTTAGTCTAGACACTGCTGACACTGAAAATTAATAAAAACTGTGTTCTCATCCGAAACATAAAAAAACCTTTTGGTGTATTTAAATGATACGTTTTTTGGATGAGTTTTTTGTAATGTTTGACGTGAACAGAAACTGACAGATAGAAATAAATCGATTATAACTTGACTTCATTACATAAAGCCTACTAAAACCGAATCTGTGTGCAAATTGATAATTTAATATTTTGTTGAAAATATGCATTTTGTTTTGACAATTCTTTGCTGTTAAAAATTCATTTTTTTCATTTTTAAATATTACAAAATGCTTTTCAATTTTATCTAGAATATCCAACTTTTGCAATAGATGTGAGACTGGTGGACGGACCTAATGATTACCGAGGTAGATTAGAAGTTTACCATGATGGAGAATGGGGTACGGTCTGTGACGACAATATAAGCTATCAATTGTGCATCGTTGTTTGCAAGCAATTAGGATATGAGTAATTATGTTTATAACATTAAAAATTAAATTGTGCGGTCACAGCTTGATTATTTTTGTAAGATCTATGTAGTTTTTATAAAATGAATTAGTTTCTGAATATTTGTGTTTAATTAACTTTTTTTGTTGTGCAAATGTTTTCTTCAACTCGATATAACACAACCAACTAAAGGTTTTCCGACGTCTTCAACTAATCTTGTTCGACAACTGACAAATTCACGAAACCCAGGTTTTTTTTAGTCTTTGTTAATGCAGCTGGACATACGCAGAACCACTTACAATGTTACTAAAATATCTTTTATTATGTTCTTCATATCTTCATCCATTGATTTGAAGCAGCCATTTTCGTTACAAAGGCTGTTTATCCTTTTTACACGACATGGCCAATGACAACCAAACTGGAACAAAAACTTCAACAAACCGACATGAAAATGCCTCGATGGATGCAACGAACTAGTCTGAAGTACCACATCAAATCTACCGAAATCTTGCGTCGTGCAGTTTTAGATGATATAATGGACAAATGCTGGCAACACCGTCTGCGGTGGTTTGGTCAAGTCAAACGAAGTGGAAACAGTGCCATAACTTTTCTTGCAGATGTTGAAGTACTTGGCATACGTCCCAAAGGCCGTCTAAAGAAGTTCCGGTCGCAAACAATCGAGCAAGACATGAAAGCTCTAAATTTAAATGAAATGGATACAACTGATCGTCTAATTTGGCGCAAAAAGTTGATGGCAAAGAAAACAACGTCCTACCTCGGGAAACTGGGTTTCTGAACGCAAAACGAAGATTGATTGACACGACGTACTATCGACGGCCTTTGAGACGTTTGCCAGTTACTTCAACATCTGCAAGAGAAGTTATGGCACTGTTTCCATTTCGTTTGACATGACCAAACCACCGCAGACGGTGTTGCCGGCATTCGTCTTTTATATCATCTTAACCAGCACGACGCAGGATTTCGGTAGATTCGATGTGGTTTTTCAGACTAATTCGTTGCATCCATCTGAGCATTTTCATGTCGATTCGTTGAAGTTGTTGTTCCAGTTTGGTTGTCATTGGCCATGTTTCTGCACCATATAACAAGACCGGACGTATCACAGATTTATAAAGTCTTGATCGTAGTGGTAGTGGGATGTCACGCCGCATCAATATAGAGGCAAGGAGATGCCATTTATTCCAGGCTGCACGTATGCGTGCTCGAACGGCAGCTTCAGCTGTTCCAGTACAATCCAGAACATCCCCTAGATATTGAAACGATGTGACTTTCTCTACCTTAATGGCTTCCAAAACAGTACTATTTCGAATTTGTTGTTGTGGATTGATGCAAGCAGGACAAACAAAATTGGACACTTTAGATAAAGTACCAATTATTTTTGAACAACGTTTGTGACACCACTGGTTACACTGCTGACACTTGGTTGAATTGTTACCTACACCAGCTTTACAAACTGAACAGGATCATCGTCCAATAGCTGTGGATTGGATGATTTCACCAGTGCTCATTGCTTTGATTTTGCTTATGTTGACTTTGAATCCATGATCGGCGAGTCTGGTGTTCCAATCTTCAAACATCTGTGCTGCATTCTGCTCAGACGTTGCTGTTAAAACGATATCATCAGCATATATTAGATTCCAAATGTCACCAGTGCGTATCGGTTTTGTGATTTCTTCCATCACAGTTATAAATAACAGTGGACTGAGAATTGAGCCTCGGTGAACTCCAACGCTGATGTCAAATGCATCTGTGTTTCCAACCGTTGTGCTGGCGAGAGTCTTAATATTCGTATACATTTCCATCACAAGTCGAACAAGATATTCTGGAATGAGTTCACACGACGTACACATGTATTTTATGTGCACGCGTAAGCACCGCGTCATATACGCTGAGGTTGTATTATTATAAGCTCATGAGAATTGAGTACAAGTCCTTAAAATCGGTGCATGAGTCAACTCAAATGTAAGTACCAAGTATTATTGAAATTTCACTGCAGATCATTTCAACTTCTTCGCCATAATTAAGTTTGACTGCTCACCACCTAACAGGCGTCTTATTTTCAGTTACATTATTTCAGCTCGGGTTTATCTGTATTTGCTACTTTTTTAACATTTTTTCACCTTCCAAATGACCAAATTATGTCTTTATATTTTTTCGTGTTAAACTCTGCCTTTTAACGATATCACCGAGATTAAAAAATTTACAAAGTTTTTCATCAAAACACTAGTTTTAGTTTTGTAAAGGTTTGAAGAAAAAAATTACTTGTTTTTATGATAAGATGTTAGAATAGCTGTAGCATAAAGTTGGCTGAGAACTTTAAAGCAACTGAATGACTTTTCATCTACCTTTTTAGTTTTTGTAGACTATGAAATAGCATTGTATATGCATAATTTACACTTGTAAGGAAGTTAAAGCTTGGGTGGTGCAGGAACATATGTTCACGCCTTTTCATATGCGGTTTATAAATTTTTATATCGATCGCGATCTTATTTGATAAAAATATTTTTTCACATATGCAAGTGGTTATTAACATTTGTATTATTTCATAGTTTATAAAATTCGTGAATATGAAGTTTTTTAATTCCATTAAACTAGTAAAGGTTATTGCTTAAGCGCTGATGACACTACGGATTGTGTTTTGGATTTTTCCTTTCAAAAGAATGAATCCAGAAGTCCAATTTGGCTTGATGAGGTTCAATGTTTCGGGAATGAAAGTAAATTGGAAGACTGTAGAAAAAGTAATTGGGCGAGTCATAACTGTTATCATTTTGAAGACGTTGGATGTGCTTGTTCTTATAAAGGTTTTTCCATTTTATTAATGTTAATAAGTTACATTAAGACATGTATTGATTGTTAAAAAACAAATTTTTGGTCACAGCATGACATAATTTATGTATGTTTTCCAAAACGCATTGTCAAATTTTAGGAATGATGCTCAATATGTTAAGCGCCAAAGGTCTGCAAAATATTAAAAACCATTGGACGAACGATGAGAAATGAAATGAAACTGCCGGCGTTGCCTTTTCACACGAATTGGAGAAAAAATTATTCCTTCGGAAAGCTATAATTATTTTAAATTAGGTTATCGTTATAAAAATAATGAAAAATTCGTTTAAACCTAAATATATGACTGATGACCATAATAAAGTAAAAAGTCAGAAACAATTTTACAAATGAATAGCGTGTTAAATTTAAATGAAAAAATTTGTAGAAGAAGCTAAATCGATCTCATGTTCAGCTGGTTTTTTTTATTCAGCATGAGAGTGCCGGTGGCGGATCGTGAAATTCATAAACAATAACACATGCTGGAACTTTGAAAAAATAAAAAAATAGTAATGCTCCATTATCTGATTATTTAAATGGTCATTTTCATTTGCTGAATATGAAATAAATTATATCGAATTATGGCAAGATTTCATTTCATTTTCAAAGTTTTTTCATAATCAACAACATATCAAGTAAGTGAATAAAAGTTATGAAGTTGAATATGCGGAGACCGCACTACATGTCTTGTTGTGGCCACCGCAGGTAGATATATAAATAGTTAATGAAATAAATAAGAAAAATAACTGAAGCAAAAAGATAATTGAAGATAAATAAGTAAATGTTCGTGATGTACATATATAGACATTAGATATATGACTAAAAATTTTTTTTGGCAATTTTTGGTTTCCCATGCCACTATGAGTGGAGAAATTCATTTTAAAACTGGAAATATCATTTGAAAGTGTTGAATCTTAAAAAAGTTCACCCCCCAAGGCTAAAAACCGTTTTCTCCCATCTATCTATTGTTAGACACCGACAGTTTAAGGTATCACAGCTTCAGTTTATTGCTGGTGTGATTTTGCTATATGTATGCATTCTTATTACATAATCTTTCATATTATATATTATATTTGTTATCATCACCTGACTTTTGATATTTTATAAACTTATTTTGATAACCTAAACTCGTAAGATTTGTTTATTTGTAGATAATTAAATTTACACTCAAATTATAACTCGACAGGACTATAGTCAAGATGTCTAACAATAGTCTTCTTTTAGATTCTATGATTTGTTTAGACCTCATGATCCATACCACGGTGGAAACATTTATTTTAGAAATAACTACATCTGCAAAAAATCGAACTTCCTACATCTACCATAAAGTTAAAATAAATCGATGTAACGTTGTTTTGTTAGCCATTAATAGACCGGCGTGATGAGGTGCGTGATGGAGTAATGGTTAAAGGCGCCTGGTCCTTTTGTTGCAATGACTCGGTCCGAATACAAAGAGATTCCCGCTTATCTTATGCAATGTGTGTGGTGCGTGTACGCTGTGTGTGTTTGCTGTTGATACCTCTGAAGCAAGTGCACAAGTGACCTTTTATAACCCTGTTTTATAACGAAATAATCAGTTTTAGAAATGATCACTGTTATGTGTTGCAATATTCTGATAACTGGTTGTTTTAACGTTTGTATAGAAAAGATAAACAATCCTCACAATGTTTCCCTACTTGGTGTTTTTTGTTATTTTAATTTAATAAACAGAGTTGTCAGATCCCATTGATGTTGATCCTTTAATAAAATTAAATAAGATGCATTTCAACACATGGTGAAAATTAGACAGAATCCAATGGCTCCTTGGTTCCATAGAGAATGCCGTCTACATAAATTCTTGTACAGTACAAAGGGAAAACGTTCTAGGAAAACTTTTTCCTGTGTGCATAAAGCAGAATGGATTGATGCTTTGAAAGCCAAGAACTGTCTTTTCTCAGATGAGATAATCTTTATTGGAAGGTGCTGGTTGGCAATAACAGATGCAATCAAAAACAAGTTTAGCATATATTAAATAAAATGCTTTGAAAAGAAAAAATCAGAATCTTTTCTGGGTGATGCGAATTTTACAGCAAAATCGTTTCAAAAACTTTTTGACGATAAATTCATTAAAGTAAAAAGGTCAACATTATCGGGTGTGAAGTCATTTTCATCTTTTAAAGAATTTCTTAATAATTTGTTTTCCAAATTTTCTGTTTTTACGTAGGTTGATATAAAAAAAGATGATTTACTATTAGAAAACATGTGCTCCCGACTGCCTACCGACTCTTATCTTTAATAAGCCCCTTATCCGGGTTTTTTACAGGTTTATGTTTCAACTCCGAAAATTCCTTGCGTCGTTTTAAACATGACATAGTTGCTCCTCTCTTGAAGAAAAAGGAATTGGTTGCGACAAGCCGGTCTAAAATCTTTCGTTTACGTCGAAGGTTATGGAATTTTTGGTAACTTTTATATCATCTAAGGTTTGTTGGCTACATATCAGTCCTGATTCGGGCATCATCATTTTAAAAACATTTTTTTTGGCGCTTTATGACATAAGTGCAGCATTTGACTGGATCGATCATAACATATTATTAGAACGGCTAAAAAAGTACTGCGGTTTATCAGGAATTGTAAAATTTTGGTTTTAATCATATTTAAAAAATCGAACTCAACAAGTTCTGTTCAACCACAATTTTTCAGATATACAAGTAGTTGTTTCCGGTACGCCTCAGGGTTCAGTGTTGAGGCCATCGTTAATTTTATTACATACAGCTGTTGTTCTTAAAATAATCGATTCATGCAGGTGACGTCCAGGTCATTATAAATGAACTACCAAGTGAAGTTCCAACTATGTTGTATAAATTCGTCAATTGTTTGAAAGATATAAATGCTTACATCTCGAATATACATCCAAAATTAAGTCGGTGAAACCCGCAACTAATACTAACTGAAATGTAGCAGCAGTTCTCCAGAATTGAAATTGGTTCAGCAGTTATTGATAATCAATTAATTAAATTATCTTCTAATGCTGTTAATTTGGGTGTTATTTAGGACCCTGAACTGTCAATAACTCATCAATACTTCCTAATCAATACTTGTCCAAATAAACTCAAAATGATCAAAAGATCAGAAAAAAATAATTCAGTATTTGATCCATGCATTTTTGCATGCAAGGTTAGATTATTGCTACAACAGTTTGATTTTTGGTTTACTGGACAGATGGATGGGTATCCGTGCTTTTCAAATCATACAGGATCGTGCAGCTTAGCTTGTAGCTGGAGCAGCAAAATTTGGTCACGTTGCTCAAATACTCATTGTTTGAGTGTCAAATAGAGAATTATTTTAACAATCTCACTTTTGATGCGCAAATGCATTAATGGTCTTGCGCCGAAATATTTGGTTGATAGATGCATTCATAAATCGTCGATTCTGAAACCGTATTATTTGCGTAGTGATGTAGAAAACTTCTTTCACAAACTTGCAACTAGTTTAAAATTGACTCATGAAATTTCTCTATTTCTGGTCCAGAAGTTTGGAACGGTTTGCTAAGTTTTTTGTGTCAACCCGGTCTGTCTATCCAGACGTTCAAGAAATCGTTAAAAGCACAATGCTACGTGAATCTGTTGGTAATCAGAATAAGATGGTAATCAGAACTGACAACAAATTTAGATCATTAATTAAAGGACCATGCAAATCGTGTTATAGCATGATGCTTGTATCGTGCGTACACGACAGTTTGTGTGTAGGTCGTGTGATGTGAACACTTCAAAAAATTCTATATAAAAATTTATTTTATTTTTTTCAGATGAGAACAAAGTTTCAAACAGTTGGACTAGTCCAGTAAACATTAGTTCGTCCGCTAAACAATCAAATTTACTTGATATGTCGTTAAGAAAAGTTGTTGACATGGATAGCAAAAGTACATGTATCGTGTCTCGTCATCAGATAAGACCTTTTCAACGGGGCATCAAATCAAGAGGGAGAGTCGAAATAAAATATGGGATTGGAAAATGGGGATTAGTATGTGGCGATGATTGGAAGATGGAAGAGTTAACAGTATTTTGCTCTTGTCTTGGATATAACAAGTTATTTTTTAATATTTTTTAGACCAGTTTTGCTATGTGGTTTGTATTATTTATAGACGTTTATGACTATAATGCAAAAAATTTAATCGCAGTTTTTTTTGGGCGTTCATAATCATAGGTAATGTAAAATAATTTATTTCCTAGGTTTAAAAGTAGTAAATTTTTGACACAATTTTTGTTGGAAACTTAGTTAAGTCGTTTGCGTTGATGTTTTATTCAGATCAGATAATTTTAGAACAATTTCTTTTGCCAATGGTCATTTACCAGAACGACCAATGATATTAAAACACTTGAGTTGCAATTCATCTTTTCACAAAAACCTTTGGGAATGTGACGATAGCTATAAAAATGTATCCTTATGTCGTGATGTAGCTAATGTTGATTGCAATTATAGTTTACACAGCTTCAACAAAGGTATAATGTTTGACAAATAAATCATTCAGTTTTCATATTATTAAAATTTTTCATTAGATTTTACACATTTATCATGCGTTGGATCATTGGTGACATGGTGTTTTTACAGCGAGTTACCAGTTCGAGTCAACGAGATAGTTATTGAGCCCCTGTGCCAAGACGTAACTAGTTATCTCACCAATTATAACATCATCTGTTTGAAAATAAATACAACTCTCTGCAATGGTAACTTTGAGGTTAAAACAAGATCTAAATTGTAATAGAATTAATTTAGTCAAAAAATTAATTATTCCTTTCAGTCAAACGGCTCGTTTATTGGTTATTGCTATAATATAACCATTCCAAGTCTATTTTCAATTCAGAATTTTTCATCAAGATTACAACTAACAAGACCTCGAATGTATAAAATCTGTTGTCGCATGCACAAACACAGATTTGTTGGAAGTAGTGTTAATATAAATAACAAAATTAATTATGTTGGTCAGTATTCTTATAACGTAAAATTATCTTCATTCCAAATAATCTGCACACAAATTTTCGATCAAAATGTTTCTCGTTTGAGTAGCAATGAACTATCAGGTTGTTTATTGTTGTGAAAATATTTAAATATTATATGAATAATTTAAATAAATAATTTAATATAATTTTGATGAAATTCTGCAAGTCGGTGACGAAATAGGATGTAGTGTAATCGGGGATTTTGCTGATAATTTCTTGCTGGTTGTTCAAGATTGTTACTTTCACAATAATAAAAAGGCTAACAATGGAAATAAATTTGTATTTTTCAAAAATAAGTAAGTTTGCAATTTATTACACGAATGGTTAATATTATTATCAGGGGTATTTATATAGCGCTTTTAAGATATAAAATTTTCCAATCGCTCAAAAGTTAAGTTCATCTGATGTTGTTGTTGTTGAATTGTTATACTTTGACTCTGCCTCGAACTGTCATTAGTTGCCATATTGGCATATTTGACATCGACGCATAGTCGAAACAAAGTTAAAGGTTGGATTGGGCTGTTGGGTATTTTATCAGTTTTTGAATGAGCAGAAGCAAGGTACTTCATCCACATATATCAATTTTTGAAATTTTGTATTTAAAATTTATATTTATGACATCTGTTGCCTACATATTGCGATATGATATAATAGAATTCTTTGAAAATAATAAATTTTGAACTAGTTCGCTACTTTTGAACTGCAGGCCGATCTTGAATCAATAATAAAATTTGACTTTATAATTTTCTGATTGATGAGTGAACAGTTTCGGATTCAACTTGAGAATAAATGCATAAATGATTTGACCAAATCAATGTTACTTTTCACCAGTTTATTAGAACGGATTCAACTTTTTCTTGGACCAGTGAGTTGCTATCAGAATCCATTTCACTTCTCAGTGGTTTGTTATAAAATTTACTTTTCACCGGAACCGTAAGCCAGTGTGTTACGGTCATATACTCAAAATACATATAGTGACCCTCAAACACACCGCGCACATTTTCAGTGCGCTTTAGGGTCTGGTGTCATTTTTCAGTTTCCATCAACAATTATTCATCAAATTTTACAATTTTTTATAATTTAATAATGATTTTCATTCATTTTTAAAATTTTTTATTTATTTAAATTATTTTTTGATTATTTTATTTTATGGATTTTCATAATATTCATCATATATAGTTGTTTTGTCTGGTCTCATATGAATCGTAACGATCAGAGACCATCATCATTGACAGGCTTCTCCCTGGTTATAACCATCTTCGCTTTCTGATGGATGATTTGCTGCTCAAATTTATATTTTCATTCATTTTATATCCACTTTCTAGCTGGTTTACGCTTGTTAAAATGTTTTCCAGCTTTCATCATGATGAAACAGCATGTGCAATATTGTGGCCTCAGCATGTTATAACCAACATTCTCCTGTTCTTTTTTATCAGCTTCCTTACATGCAAATACTGCATCCAAATCTGCTCAAATGTCTTTGGATAATTTTATGAAGTTTTTATATAAAAATTTGCAGATATATATATATTTATTCATCAGGTTATATATGTTATATGCTTTTTCATTTTTTAGTCAAACGTGCACCTAATGTTTAATTTTAAAATACTGTAGAACATTTGTTCTGAAAATAAAATCATTTTTCTCATGAAACGAATCAATAAGTGGAGCTAAACCTTGCCTATGAACCAAAAGTAAAGCATGGTAAATTTATATATCGGGAGTTGAAAACTTGCTAAGCAAAAGATTTAAAAAAGACTGCAACATCCATAACACAAATTTCATGTTTTTAAAGGGCTGTTTAAGGATATAAAAAGATGCGTGTGTTAAAATTGATATTAATTGTATTTTATCAATTCTGTTAATGGCTTTAGTGAATACATTAAGAAATAGCGATTCAACGTTTAGCAGTGCAGTGGCGCTAATTGACACGCTTCTTTGCTTACACGTGCAATTTCTTGTGACCACAACCTCCCTGTTGCACAGTTTCTATGCAAGAGGCATGGCAAACCATGCTCCAAGCAAGGTCGCAACAGTGTAATGAAAGCAGCTTAGTTCGTTTTAAATTTAAATGAATTCAACAGTTTCGCCGGCGCAACATCTATAGATCTGTGTCAAGAAGAAAGTAATATCTATCAATATGCCGCCACCTTTAATTGTTAGGCTGCACTTTGGCCGATATTTGCCATCACTTATTGGAAAACCTACAGATGGGTTCAGAAGACGCAATATAGTGCAGCCTGCTGGTGTATTAGATGCGTAGGATATTTCCGGGTGACGTTTAAATCCTGCGCCATGCATTTCCTGACTGCGTCTGCAAGCCTATATCATTTGAAACCTACTTTTTTCTGACTGGGAGCCGCCTGTTTACCATACGCGTTGACTCGTAGCTTATAGATTATCAAGGTATTTGCCTCTCAAACATCGCCTAGCAAACACACTATCGTACAAAATTGCTATATAATAACCTATACCGCTTTTTCTACTACCGCTGCATAACATATCGAAATATATATTCTTAAAAATATGTTATAATATATTTTATAAATTTAAAAGTATTTCATAAAATTTGCTAACTTTAGATTTTTTAATTTTATTACAATGTATGAAGATTTCAAAATAATTATAAAATTTTCAGATGCACATCTGATGATTTCAAGATTGTAATAGAGAAAAATCAGAATAAGAAAAAGTGGTCTTTTCGTTTTTCTCTTCCAAATTTCGAGTATTCGCGGAGACTTTATATCACTTGTCTTTGTTATGTTTGTGATTTTGTCCACGAAAAGAATTGTAACAGAGAATGTTACACAAGTTTGAACCAATCAGGAATGAATCAAACCGATGATTTTTTAACTCATATCAACGCAGTAGCAAAACGTCATCAGGTTTATTGTTTTCATTATTAATTTTTAAAAATGTTTGAGTGAAATTGAAAGTTTGAATTTAAATGCGCAAAATCCAGAGCTAACTAAACAATTCAGTTTTAAAACCATGTTATCCATAGCTTACGTTCTCAAAACCTATACGTTCTGGTGACATTTGGAATCTAATATATGCTGATGATATCGTTTTAACAGCAACGTCTGAGCAGAATGTAGCACAGATGTTTGAAGATTAGAATACCAGACTCGCCGATCATGGATTCAAAGTCAACATCAGCAAAATCAAAGTCAAACACTGGTGAACCCATCCAATTCACAGCTACTGGACGATGGCCCTGTTCAGTTTGTAAAGCTGGTCTAGGTAACAATTCAATCAAAATCAAGTGTCAGCAGTGTAACCAGTGGTGTCACAAACGTTGTTCAAAAATAATTGGTACTTTATCTAAAGTGTCCAATTTTGTTTGTCCTTTTGTCCTGCTTGCATCAATCCACAACAACAAATTCGAAATAGCACTGTTTTTGAAGCCATTAAGGTAGAAAAAGTCACATCGTTTCAATATCTAGGGGATGTTCTGGATTGTACTGGAACAGCTGAAGCTGCCGTTCGAGCACGCATACGTGCAGCCTGGAATAAATGGCATCTCCTTGCCTCTATATTGATGCGGCGTGACATCCCACTACCACTACGATCAAGACTTTATAAATCTGTGATACATCCGGTGTTGTTAAATGTTGCAGAAACATGGCCAATGACAACCAAACTGGAGCAACAACTTCAACGAATCGACATGAAAATGCTCCGATGAATGCAACGAATTAGTTTGAAGGACCACATTAAATCTACCGAAATCTTGCGTCGTGCTGGTTTAGGACGAATGCCGGAAACACCGTCTGCGGTGGTTTGGTCATGTCAAACGAAGTGGAAACAGTGCCATAACTTCTCTTGCAGATGTTGAAGTACCTGGCACACGTCCCAAAGGCCGTCCAAAAAAGTCCTGGTCCCAAACAGTCGA